GGGTCTACATAAGATTCTGGCCTCAGTTCTGATTTCCTCTGCAGCGTCCTCTGGGAGGTGTCAAATAGCTATTTCAATATTGGCAATGATGTCCTCAGTGGGTATTACAGAGGGCGTAACAGCAAAGTTTCCCCCTTTGGCTAAAATCAAAGTCTCCTCTATAGTGAGTTGGCAATATGTAAGGTTGACAACGGTGCGCAAAGTATCAGAGTGGCATTTTTCAAACTTCTGTTTCTGCTTCTGGGCAGGTCTCTCCATTTGTTTTGCCATTTTCTTGTAGCTCAGCTTGTCAAACTTGTCCCAGTCCTGATTCTAGATAATGTTGCTGACTTGGAGGTGTAGGCACAATAACTGTGCATCAGTGAGGGCAAAATTTCTATATATTCAGTGGATCCGTTCTCGTAGTAAGGGGGCTCCATGCCAGCCACAGTTGCTGGCAAAACGTCAGGAAATCTGCTGTCTAGACCATAGTCACTAAGCCCTGAAGCTCAACATTGCTCAAGAGTATCAACAGCTATTTTCCAACAAACCTAGAAGAATGTAAGTTTTATTCAGACTGATGTCAGTCCTTTAAAGCAGGCCACATCAGGAAACAGACACACAAGGATTCCAGAAATGCTATTTTATTGTAGAATATATTGTAAATCTGTCAGAGTTTCACTCTGCCCCATCTTACATCCCCCAAAATCAAGGCGGGGTTATTTTGAATTTCTTTCTCATGCTTTTCACTTTCCCGGGACAGTTGCTGTTTCTCCTTAACCATTCATCTATTCCTTTCCCAAGGTCATCCTTACATTGCTTTACAATGCTTTATCTTTCTGTAGCTCCCTAACTTAGTTAATTTAGTTCTGTACTATTGTGCTTACCTAATTTGCTTACTTTTGTTGCTTAGCTTATACCATTTCCCCTTACCTTACCTCTTTTCTTTGGCTTAATGTTCCTCTTTCTTAGTTTGGGGTTTCTTGTGCTATAGTAATTTTGGCCATCTCAGCTGGTTTTGCTCTTGCTGCACTCAGTTTCTAAAGGGTGAGATTAATGCAAGAGCTTATTGCCAGGCTGCAGTGTTGTGCTGCAGGGCGATGCCAATGAGTCTCACCCTACTGACTGACAGTTCACAGGGCCTCTTGCTCTGGAACCCTTACTGACCTTTGCTACTTTTGACCTACTGCCAATTCCCAGGGCCTTTCATCATCCCTTGCTGTGGGCTTTCTGATATCCCTTATCTTGGGTTCTATACACTAGTGTTGCTCAGTCAGATCCCTCCCCCCCCCCCGGGTCTCCTTTAGTGAAATGTTGGTGATGTTACCTGGCCTCTTGGAACAGCAGCATTGCTGACCTCATCCAAGTGCCTTTTTGGCTGTTCCACTGCTTGCTGCACTGTTCTTGCTGTCTTGACTTCACTGTTTTCCAGGCTGCTCAGGTCCTGCATTTGTGCCTCTTAAATGCCTCTTAGACATGCCATTTTGAGAATATGGAATAGATAGAAATAAACCCAGATTGTGCCCGAAAACACCTTTGTGGACCTCAGCTCAAGAAGCATATCATTAGAAGAGAAACAGCAGGCAAAGACAAATGGTTGAAGTACTGGGAATTATTGGAAAACCATCAAGGTGAATTTAAGATTAAATCAAGAGAGCAACTAACAGCAGAAGGATATAGTGTAGTTGTCAATGGTTTTCCCATTTACAGTAATCAGAAAGATTCAAAATCAACAAAAAAACTTATGGTATGGAGCAAAGCTAGACAGTATTTGAAGTACAATTGGGCACTGATGATGAGCGTGTAAATGCTAAAATGTATAAACTTTTGTTGAAATTTGAAACAGTGGAAGAATAAGGAATATATCATAAAGTGGGCCAAGAATTTTGGTTATAATATACAGATGGATCAATGGGAAAATATGTGGTTAAAAGGTTGAAATTTACATTATGTTAAGATCTTAAAAAGAGTGTTTATAAAATGATGTATCATTGGTACATGATGCCAGAAAAATTATCTAGAATGTATAAAGGCACTTCAAATTATGTTGGAAATCTGAACAACATGAAGGGACATTCTATCATGCTTGGTAGACATGTAAAAATCCAACTGTTTGGCTTCTTGGCCTTCCAGCCTCTACGCTTCCCTGGAGGCGGCAGCCCAGTTCCCTCTTAAAGGATCAGCTCCTCATTTTTAGCAGGGCACAGCCCTAAAAAGTTACATATAATAAAAACAGCTCAGGTTTCTTTGCTGCCTTGCACTAGTCCATCCACAGCCTTGTACTTTAATCATAGGTAGGTTTGACAGATTTAAAGTCAACATTTTCACTTTATTTCCCAAGTAAAACTATGGAGAAAATTAAAAGCCTCCAAAATTGACTAGTGTTTATTACTATTTATTTGTACCATACATATCAATATTCTCTAATTTAGATGCAAACTTCAAAGGCACTTACCAAATGCTATTCCAAATAAAAGGGGTGAGACAAGACTATATCCTTAACTCACTTGTTTAATTTTTACCTACAGACACAGATAATACTGTAAATAATATAGACTTCCACCCACGCATCCCCCAAATTGGCAAAAAACACAATTCCGAACAGATTATCCTCACTAACACTAGTTGACAGATACTAAGCTATATAGAAAATAACTTTATTGAAAAAAAAACTTGGATTATCTTCACCCCACCTGTGTTCTGTGGGACACAAAGAAGCTAAAGCACTGATGAAGCAGCTCGTAACAGAAACAGAGCACCCACTGAGCCCAGACAGAGCTCCAGATTTCTCTATTAACGAAAGTTGCAGATACGGAGTAGCACTTGCTGTGTATCTTACACAGGTAGAGATTCCAAAACAAAGAAGGATCTTTACTGCAATGTCCTCCTTTCAGCTGCACTAGAGGGAAGATACAGCAAGATTCCCTGTATGGAATGCCCATACCCATGTAATAACAGACATTTTAAAACTGTTGTATATGCCTTCCTACATTATTTTTACGTTTTACAGAGGTTTTCATAGCACTTATCCATCCATTATTTTTAAGGATACCAGATCTAATTGTATGTTTATTTATCACCTCAAGATAATTATTAATTTGTAACTTTCAATAAAGCCCATATAACAACAAAGTTATATGCTTCTAAGAGGTAGCATGTAACATTTGGCAGGATCTAATATAGAGTAAGCATTAATTACAACAAAAATCTTTATATCTGTATTTTTAGCTTTTTGTTATTTAATTCAATGATTCTTCAAAGTTACAGTTTAAAAGTAGTTTGGAAATGTTAGGTATTATTTTAAAATAGTATACAATTACTAATTTAATTTAGGTACTGTTTTAGGTTAATTTTAATGAGTTTATTGTATTATATTGATTTTGGGTTATATATTCATCATATCCATGCATTGTATCATATCTAGTGCATTGTATTTTATAGTATTACATAATATTATAGTTATTTTTGAATTGTTTATAGTTAATTTTTTGTAAGTATTTGAAACAGTTCATAAATTATGATTAATTTTGTAATGCTTATATTGGTCAAAGATGAACATGAAGACTGAATGGTTGAGACTTCATGCTCTTTTTTCAATTTAAAAAACTTAGTAGTCTTCTAGTTATGTCTCTTAAAAATGGACAAAATTAGAAATATGTTTCATTTATGCAATCCAACATAAAGTGCATAAAATATTTTTAGAATTATTTTGTCCTGCATCAAGGAATACCTAAATTTTCATTCCCAAAGCAAACACTCCAAAGGAGGAAAGATGAAACTTTAACAAAGATTTTATTATCAGAACACATACTATAATGAAGCAAGAAACTATAGTTGATCACAATTTCCCAACATTTTCACCACCAGGCCAAAAATCTACATGTGTTTATAACAGTAAAATAACTGTATATGCATGTTACGTAAAACACATGCGCCATACTTCAACAACAAACTCAAACTTGCAACTTTAGATAGTAGTTGCACCAAAACTCCCTGAAGTACATGAGTTTAAAAACTTTTTAAATTACATTAATATTTAAGTTGAATATACAAAGTGACATGCCCCAAGAGCAATGCCCTGGAACAGTGACAACTGTACCAAACTTCAATGATGTCAAATGACAACACATGCAGGATGACAACATCAACATGCAAATGCCATAATTACGTACTGGCATCACAATGTTTGATGCAAATACACAAGTTGCAACATTGCAACGATGACGTCATTATGCATACGTTGTCATCTGCCCCCCCCCCCGCCGCCATCCCATGGATGTCTTTGCATACTAAATACTGTGCATTCAGGGCTATGTCAGGTTATCAACGTTTAACCTGTTCTTTAAGCCCATTTCGCATTCCTGCTCCATGACTTTATTTTGGGGTGTTGGCTCCTGTCAGGAATTCTTTTAAGATTTACACCCTGGCGAGGATTCCCATTTAAGGTTGCAATTCTACACCCATGCCACGTGCGAGAAGTTACGCTGAACATACCGAGACCCGCACTCCGTCCCTCCCCGCCCCCACCCGCTATCTTCTCTTAGCGGCAGAACCAGCGCTCGGGAGAGAAAATGACTGAGCTGGGGAAATTTAGCGCTTCTTTTCTTCCAAGGATAAAGCGAGTTCGCCTGCTGCAAATCTACCCGCCCCGCCCGGCTGCGCCTCTTGACCAGAGCAAGGACTGCCAAAGGAACAAGAGCCGGCGAGGGAAAGAAAGCTACTTGCAAGCAGCCCAAAGTCCAAGCAAAAAAGGACGGCGATACTAAGATACTAAGTGCAAAATGTGTGAGCTCGCAGAAGAAGTAATCGCGGGTGAAGGAGGACTATGATCAGTTGCAACCCCCTCCCCCCTTGCGTCCCTTCCTGAAACAGACTTCTCCCCCGACCCCCCTCCCCATCCTTCCGTCTTTTTCAGGGAGAGGGAATAATGAGGAGAAAGCCTCCGGCCTCTTCGATCGAGACGAAGAAGGGAGCTTACTTCCCTTCAGACTGGCCCCCTGCGCCCTCACCCATTCACTCACCCTCAGCCTCAGCCTGTCTTCTTCACGGCCGCCAGGGGGAGGGAAGGCAAAGCCGCCGCTCCACAACAGACCGTGAGAGCCGCCAACGGGCGGAGCCACTCGAGATCTGCGCCTGACTGGAGAGGCGGGACTCTCACTCGCCCCGCCCCCAGTGGTGCGGATGAAAGGTCCTATTGGTTCCCTCAGTTGGTCGAGCTTCTCTCCAGCACGCTGTCGTGCGCCTATAGGGAGATGCGCGCGCACCCTTCTATCGCTATTTGTTGCCAGGTTTTAACCGTGGGAGTTTATGAGTTGTTCGTATATTTATTTAGCTCTAGGTTCAGCTGCATTTCCTTTTTTCCTGCCCAATGCCTCTGGCTTACTCTTTCTTTTCCTGCGCACCTAAATGGATAATGAGCATGTATGTATTTTTCTCCCTGACTCTCTTAGTGGAGTTTTTGAAGTTTCTGGTTTTATCCCCACTAAGTTTACTGTGGTTCCATTTTGCCCTGCCATATCCATTTTCCCTCTTGATGGCATTGCACTTTAGTTTGATTGCATTTTAGCTTCATCTTGTTCCACTTGTGAATCAGACTTGTGTCATCACCAAGGACTCTTCCGCATTACTCAGTTAAAATATTCTATCTGTGAGCCAGCAGAAAACTTGAATGCATTTTGTGTCCTATTGCTAATCCCAATTACCTCTGTGCTGGTTTGCATCTGGAGGATGGCGTCCTCATTTCCTATGCAGGGAAGTCCTCCATCCCACACTTTCTGAACCTCATCAACTGGCAGGAAAAAGCTGGTTTCATGGTTCTGATAGACTGCTAGATCAATGTGCGTAGCCATTTATCAGAAAAGCCTACCTTCACCTGCTACCTCTCCCAGCCTGGGGACCAACTATCCAGGCTGGGAGAGGCAGCAAAGGGGGAAAGGAAGTTCTTTACCTACTAGATCTCCAAGGTTTTGACCTATAAACCCTGCCTAGCTTGGACCTTAGCTACTTGTAAGACCACTTTCTCCTACTGAATTTGACCCGTAGAAGAGATTCTTCCTGGGAAATAATTCTAGTGGTTCTCTACTTTCATGAGGTAAGGGGCAGGGGGAGGGGGAGGAGCTGAGGCCCAGATACACTATTTTACAGAAATAGCACCTATTCTGTGAAAAAGCATCTCCCCCTGAAATTAGACCAGCTCCCTCCTTGGTAGTCTTCCAGAAGCTGTTTAAGATGGAACCCGTCTGAAAGATATTTGGGAAGCACTTAGATCATTGGTTCTCAACGGGGGCGGTACCGCCCCCCCGGGGGGCGATGGGAGGATGCTGAGGGGCGATGAAATTGTTTTGGGCGGTAGGGGGGCGGTGGGCATGTTTTGGGCGGTAGAGGGGTGATGAGCATGTTTTGGCATTCGAACTTAATTTTAAAACTCCCAAAAATTTTTATTAAATCGGTTATCTGGTTTATACCATTTGTACCAGCAATAAAACGAACTTACGCAACGGCTGCCCTCACGCACTTCTAAGAATGGTGAGA